AGTTCATACTTATATTCTACAAATAGTATAAAAACATGTTAACAGGATATAGGAAAAATTAAGGTAGAACATCTACATACCTGTTAATGATTAATATTGAATACCCTTGAACCGAAATGTTGAAATTATTTGGCCTCACTTAGAGATAAAGTGAATTATAAGGAAATACTGATGCTAAGAAATTCCCTTAAGTATTTAATATCATTTGACCATCAATCTCGTATGCAAACTTTGATTAATCATCTCCGGTAATTTCCTATCTTGAATAGAAAAAAATATTGCTAAACACATAAAGAAAACAATCGTCTTAAAATCACCAAAAGCCGACCTTAGCATTTCACGAATTATTGAGCATTAGGAGCTACTAGCTGAATGCGATTTGGCTATGTTATCATCACACTTGAGCTAACGGCGTCCACTGGCACTCAGCTCATCGGGCTGCGCTCTACCTCAAGGCCACCAATTTCTTATTCAGCAGCGTCCTGCCACCTGTTGAAAGTTCCGAAGCCCGACTCTCCGAGTGTAAAAATCTTTTGTCGATCAGGTCACATAACCAGCTCTCTCTCTCACGATCATGGTCATGACGCATTTCCTGTGAGCTCTGCTTCTATATACGCCACTTCTTCGTACATCGACTCCACGTATGCCGTACCAGTATACTCTGCTCTTTCCCGCATAGCATCGCATACTGGCAAAGTGGGTTGTACTCCTGAGGACTAGGCTTGCCCTATTTCGAAATTGAAACAAAATTCCTCAAAACGCATATTGAAAAGTATGTTTCTACAGACTTACTCAACAGTGCCTGGATCGAACTATTATGTCTCTAAGACGCATCTCATCACTGCGCCTTTTCTGTTTGGCATAAAGGTGATTATTTAATTTAATGCCTAAACATTTAGATTTCATTTATATGGACAAGTTTATCTTTTGCATATCTAAACTATACCATAATAACCACTTCTCCGCCTATTTCCGGATCTCATTCTTACAAAATTTCAAGCCGCCAATAAATCAAGAAATCTATTAGGCTATTTTAGACTAAATATACACTAAAATTTTCAGTATAAAATATATAATAGAAGGAAATATTGGATGATTTTAATGCTTCCATTTTTATCTTCATGTAAGTA